AGTCATGAGGGACACTCCACAGCAACACAAAGAGGATTAGTTAGATCCCCTGGGGGCATGGGAGGGGCCTCAGCTTCCATTGGAGTGGTGTGGGCAGGTTTTGTTGTGGAGTCGAAAGTTAAAGGTGAATTGGTTTTAATCGGTAGAGTGGAAGGTTAGTCCATTTGAACTTGAAGGAGCATCTATATATATAAAAGCCTAAGTGACCACCTGACCATTCGCCCGGTAGCTATGACGTGCAATGACCACTAGGGGGCAGATGCTCTGATCAGTAGAGGAGGGAGCCTGATTCCTCGCCAAATCGGCCATGGGTTAGGTTGCTGCTGGGGCACTGTCGGCCTCAAATCTGCTTCACCCGCACCCTGGACCCATCAGGGGATGTTGGAGGCCCAGTGCATGGATTTGTGCACCAGTGGGGTCCCTCAGCCTGGCCTGCACCCTCTCACAATCCAGGACCCCTCGGGGGATGTCAGAGAGCCGGTTTCGGCCCGATCCCCGCAGGCCAGGCCGAGGGACCCCACTGGTGCACGAATCCATGCACCGGGCCTCTAGTTGTGACATAGAGGCAAAAACAAAACAAAACACTGCAAGTTCAAAAGCTAAGGAGTCTGCGAGAGCTGCAGAGGCCAGGGGGGTGGCGGGGGGACTGGAATGTGGAGGGGAGGGTCTGGGAGCCCGTTCCTAAGAAGCCAGGCCTCTTTACTCAGTGGAGAGCCGTAAAGACAGGAGAGACGCCGTTGGGTATTGTTAAGCCCATTTGACAAGCTCTGATGTAAAAGTAAGAAACCAAATCAGACAGCTTTAAAGAGCTTTTAGCTGTTCATCAGCATTCATTTTAAAAGCCCCACATCAATTGAATTACTAAAAATATATGTAAAATGATAGGAAAAGCAGCAGAGGAACCAGACTCCCATTTTCTGGAGCACAGATGTGCTATGGGCCATCTATTCTCAGAATGTCTCCACCCAACGAGGGCCCTGCTTGACTATTTAAAAAATCATTTCTAGTGGTGAAGGCCTTGTGGGGGGGCAGGGGGGGCGTGAGGAGGCAGGCTAGAAGGGGGGGAGGGAACATCTGTAATACTTTCAACAATAAAGATTTAATTTTTTAAAATTACTTCTATATTAAAACTTTCTATTTTATCTAATTATCCCATTTGGTTGTCTGAAACCCCTCTTAAAAAGGGTTTTTTTAATCCTCACCTGAGGATATTTTTCCCGTTGATTTTTAGAGAGTGAAAGGGAGGGAGGAGGAGGAGGGGAGAGAGAAACATCATTGTGAGACCCGTCAACTGCACGGGCCCGACTGGGGGTGAGGTGCGAACCCACAACCGAGGTATGTGCCCTTGACCAGGAATGGAACCTGAGACCCTTTGACCCAAGCAGGCCAGTGCTCTAACCACTGAGCAACCATCCGGGGCAAAAAGTAACTTTTTTAATCCTCGCCTGAGGACTTGCTTAGAGAGAGGAAGGGAGAGAGAGAGAAAAAGAGAGAGAGAGAGAGAGAGAGAGAGAGAGAGAAAAACATCAATGTGAAAGAGAAACATCGATCAGCTGCCTTCCGTATGTGCCCCGGCTAGGAATCGAACTGGCAACCTCCTGGTGCACAGGGAGGCACTCAACCAACTGAGCCACTCCATCCCGGCAAAAAAAAAAATTAAATTAATAACAGTTTGAGCAAATGGCATATCAGTTGAAAAGAGAAATTCTCAGCGGTCCTGGAGACCTCCAAGAGTTTTTCCTGGTTGGAACGAAGTTGTCCCAGTCCTTTTCTTAATGCTGTTTATCGGCGAATTGGTGACACCCTGTGCCTGTTGTAATTGTGAAGAACTTTGTAATTATAGCTTTAAATTGCTCCTCAAACAACTCCATGCACGTGTTTAAGAAGCGGATGAAGGCTTCACTGTTGCAGAGAAGGGCAGCCGGGCCACAGGTTGACACACGCTCCGAGGCATGTGTGTGTCTCGTCCACTGCAGAGTATTCTGTTGGGCTTTGGGGGGTGGAATCGTGACTTCCTCCGTGACGTGTGGACATGTCAGCGGTGCGTGCGGGGGAATTAAAGCAGTAAATCTTTCTCTGCCTGCTCCCGGGCAGGCCAGCACAGAGTGGAAAATTAAAGCATTTGTTCTTTTTGGCTCCGAGTGCCGATACCATGCTGCACGTCTTCACATACAAGCCCAGCGAACCCCGCAGCCCCTGTCAGTCCGCTTCATCACTCAGAATGTCGAGGCTCAGAGAGGGTCAGACTGAGCCGAGGAGAAACTCCAGCACCCTCCTCGGTGTTGGCTTGTTTTACCTTTTCCTCTCACCTTAAATTCTTACGGGTACCTGGCCATCGACGCCTCCTTCCAGGGGTTTTTCTGTCTCCCTGCTTAGCGTCAGCCGTGTATTTCTGCTCAGAAGTAACTGGTCCGAGCGCACCATCGGTTCCCCACGTCCGTTCACTGGCCTGTGTCTACAACACGTGTCTCTGCCTCGGCTGGAATCCTTTTCTCTCTGTCTCTGTATTCTGGCCGCGGGATTCACTGAGTGACTCTGCAGCATTTCGGGGCTTGTAGCTTTTACATGCCACATGGTCAGAGCCGTTCTCACGGGGAGAAGAGGATTTGTTTTTCTGTTTCTGAAAGAACATTCTTTACATTTAAACGTGAAAATAAACCCCCTGCTTACGCTGGTGTCCCTGTCCATCTGATGGTTGCTCCTTTGAAAGGTACTGTCTTCCCCTAGCTGTTTTGGCTCAATGGATAGAGCATCGGCCTGCGGACTGAAGGGTCCTGGGTTCAATTCTGGTCAAGAGAACATCTCTCAGTTGCAGGCTTGATCTCCAGCCCTGGTCAGGCACATGCGGGAGGCAACCAATTGATGTGTTTCTCTCACATCTATGTTTCTCTCTTTCTTGCCCTCTCCTCTCCCTTCCACTCTTTCTAAAAATCAGTGGAAAAATATCCTGTGTTTTAACATCTGCGCATTTGTGACTTCTCCCCCATATTCTTTTCTAATACTTCCTATGACACAATCAAGGTTTCCCAGAGCAGCATCCAGGTAGAAATAGCAGTTGGTTAAAGCATCGTCCAATATGCCACGGTTGCGGGTTTGATCCCCGGTCAGGGTACATACAAGAATCAACCAATGAATGCATAAGTAACTGGAACAACAAATCGATTTCTCTCTCTCCCCCTCTCCCTCTCTCCTTCTCCCGCCCTTCCTCTCTCTCTCTAAAATAAATAAAAATTTAGAAAAAAGAAATAGCCCATTCAAACTGGCACACCGTCCCTGCATGCCATAACTGTTAGTTAACAAACAGTTGGATATTTTTTGCAATTCTCGATTACAGGCTGTGGTTCAAAAACTATTTCATCAGTTCATGGTGCCGTTTAGTTACCATGTCTGTCCATGTCATCGGATGGACTCGACTTCCTCCTCTTCCCAGTTCTCTGCCAGTTCATTCAGCTGATAGATGAGCTCCCTGCTGTGCTCAGGACAGCGCTGCACGGGCTAAGGTTGTGCCGAGACTAATCAACGAGACCCCCGTACCCACAGGCACCTACACAAGCCATTCTAAGTCAAGGCAAAATCTGTCACGTTAAAGGCACAAAGAGGCACAGAGTTATTAATCCTGCTCTGATTTGAAGCTCCACGTTCTGTAATTTTCTCATTTCTTTTCATTAAGTTAACAGGGTTTTTAGAATACAGTGAGTGAGAACAGAATTTTCTTTCTTAGTTAATGCGAAAACAATGAAGAATTTTTCAACAAAATGTATTTCACTGCCCCAGCTCCTTGATACAGAAGGGTTATTGTTTTTTTTGCTTATTTCTCTTTGATCTTTTCCATTTAAACATAAATTGTATATAATTATAATGTATAATTTTATAATCTGAATTTTTCACTGCCATACATAATGCGCTATTTGTTTTTGCTTTTTTTTTTTTTTACTGCAGCACAGCTTTCATCATCATACTATTTGATGCCTCTGCTCATTGGTTTACCAATACTGAACATGTTAGTTTTTGTTGGAGATGGGTATTTTTCCTTTTTTCAGTATGAGAAAAAAATGCCACATGGATCATTTTTGATTCAGAAATCCTACTCCTAGAATATTAGTGTGAGTAAGGAATTCAGAGAGAAAAGCAAGTGCTCAGACAATACGAATATTTTAGTGATTTCTGATACAAGCTGTGGCTCAAAAGCTAACAATTTTTGGTGCCACCAGTGGTTTTACAACAGCACTGATAGCAGGTGCTGTGACTAAAACGTAACGGCTTATTTAGCAGCTCTACACGATACTTTTAATTTGCTTTGATTTTTATGTGGGCTTTTTCTGGCTATTAGTGAAGTTGAACCATTTTCCCTCTTTGTTCTTGGTATTTAGAGGATCATTTGCATCCCTGGACTTCGGCTTTTAATGCACTATCATCTCTGATGCCGTGTTTCCCAGGGGTGTGCGTCGTGAGGGTTCCTGAGATACCGTATGCGAGTGTAACCTGAGCAGGGGCTGACCCATAAAAGTGCCAATAAATTATACCTGTCAGACCTTTTCCTTCTCAGCCTCGGGGGCATGAGAAAGTGTGCTTGTTTGTTTTGCTATTGAGCATACAAAAAACAAATTTTCATTTCAGGGAATTTGATTTAACTTCAGTGGTTTCAAAGGAACTAAGAACCACTGAAAGAAAAATGAAACTCCGAAGTTTAATTATTGTATATGGTTTTAATTACTAAATCAAGTCTCTGTGTACAAGTCTTTAGATACGATAAGAAAAAAATTTTTTTGAAGTTAATTGTTTCAGTTTCATAAAATAATCTCCAACTCCTATATGCCTTCAAATATAATACAAAAGCGTTTTTGCTAATATTGATAAATTTGGTTCTTTTTCGTCTTTCAAACTTAGAAAAATTAATGTTGAAGATAACTGATAAGATTGGTTGAATATTTTCGTTGAAGGCACTTTTCTTCCTGACCTGGAATTTAAAAGTATGTGTTGTTTCTCTTATTTGTCTTCAGGTTAAAAAGGCCTTCTTTGCCTTAGTAGCCAATGGTGTTCGAGCAGCGCCACTGTGGGAAAGTAAGAAACAAAGTTTTGTAGGTAAGCAGTGTGCCCCCCTCACCCCCCAGGGAAATCTGCAACAAAGCAGAAAGCCCAAGGCATTTAATGGGTGCTGATTGGAATTCACTCTAGTAAACATGTTACCAAATTAAAGAACATTCTTGCTTTTACATCCGGATAAGGGAGGGCCGCTGGTAATTCAAAATCATTTCCCTACTTTGATTGAATTTCCTTTGATTCAGCACCTTGTTGTCTCTGGAGGATCTTATGTGCTGGTCCCTGTGAGCCCAGGGACCAGAGTGTGAGGGGGAGGCTGTGGTCGGGCGTCTGTCTGTCTGTCAGCCACCCGTGCTCACGGTTGCTCACCCGTGGCCCCTCCAGGGTGAACACCTTTTGACAGGGCAAAGGAAGCATAAAAGTGGTCAATGCCTTCGCTGAATCATTGCTATACTATTAAAACATTGTGTGACTTATGCCATCTAAACTGCAAAATTCCACATCCTGGGAGCCATGGCAGACCGGGGGTGTCCCCGGCCAGGGCTGTGCGCCGCTCAGCGCTGCTGTGAAATGGTCAGTTTCCTCTTGCAGTCCTGGCGCCTGGCACAGGGTCGTGCCCCCAGAAGTGCCATGTTTCCAGAGCTGCTGGAATGCTTGATCTTATTTTAAAGTATTTAAAATTATTTACATGTAGCTGCAAGTCTTTTGTGATGTTCTGTAACAGTCATTCATTTCTCTCTCCTTGACTTGCCAAGTACTGTGATTAATTCCAGTTACTGTCGGGTTCAATTTCAGCTAAATTTGTGTATCTTAGTTTGCTGTAGATAATTAACAGATTAATAGCTTTAAATAATATATTAAACGGTGCTTGAGACGTGTACTTTAGAAGCTGTTCTAGTAACTATTCCAGGGTTTGCCTGTCATTTGCAATTTTTTTGTGTTTTAATCGTTTCCTATTTAACATACAATTCTTTGTTCCAGGAATGTTAACAATTACAGATTTCATAAATATACTACATAGATATTATAAATCACCCATGGTAAGTACCAGAATCCTCATCTGATCGGAGCTGTGTTCTGTGTATGTGTATAGGGGTTGGTTGTGTGTGCATTTAAGATTTGGGGGGGCAGGGGAGAGGTGGTACAGGGGTGGTGCTGGTGATTGATTTTTCCAAATATATATGATGTGCAGGAACCTCTGTGTAAATCAGTCATATGTTTAAGCCTGAAGAAGGTCGCCTCAGGTAAATGAAAGGCTGTAGCGTCTTTATTCAGCTTTCAGGAGTTACCGGAAGTGGACTTCCATGCGCTGACTTATTGCCTAGATGTTCTGTAGGTTTCACTAAATGTATGACCTGGAACAGCATATGGGCACGTTGTCATAGAGACGCAGCCTGGACCCTGACTGAAGGCGGCCCCGGCACCACTCCTGTCCGGATGGCTGTCACCAGTGACAACCTCACTCTCAGATGAGAATACCACGGGGCTCACTTTCATGGCCTGTTATGAAGGCGGCCTCGGCACCACTCCGGTCCAGATGGCTGTCACCAGTGACAACCTCACTCTCTGAGATGAGAATACCACGGGGCTCACTTTCATGGCCTGTTGATGGGAGTACAGCTTCATGTACTTACCCCAAAATTCTGTAACAAGAACGATATGTATTCTGTGGTTTAAGAAGTAAAAGTTAAAATGGAAGAAATTTAACTGACATTTTCCTGCCAGTTAAAAAAAGACTGCTGGGGTTCATTTTTGTGGCACGACACCCTGGCCCCTGGCCCCGCTGTTCTGTAAGACAAGAGTGAGAACCCCACGTATGGCCTTTAACACTCTGACTACGTGATTCTACCAGCTTGTTTGGTTTTTGTTGTATTGGGGGAGGGGTTGTGTGTTTTTATTGTTGTTTTTTCTTTGTTTTTTAATTGAATGTATTGGGGTGACATAGGTTAATAGAATTATATAGGTTTCAGTGGTACAGTTCTATAATACACCATCTGTATGTTGTGTTATGTGTTCTCCACCCCACATCAAGTCTGCTTCCATCACCATTCCCCCCTTTGCTCTCTTCTACCACCCCTTACCCCCGTTCCTCTGGTAACCACCACACTGTCGGCTGTCTGTGAGGTTTTGTCTGTTTGTTTTGGTTCATCCCTTCACCTTTTTCACCCAGCCCCCCAACCCCTCTCCCCTCTGACACCTATCAGTCTGTTCTCTGTATCTGTGAGTCTGTTTCTATTTTGTTTGTTAGTTTATTGTGTCTGTAGATTCCACATATAAGTGAAATCATATGGTAGAGGTTGTTTTTGTTTTTGTTTGCACAGGTGGGAAAGGACAGAATTATATACTTTGTTTCTTTAACTAGTACTATTTTGGGTATCTAAAAGGTAAAAGACAATCCAATGAATACTGTTTTTACATGTAATAGTCAATATTGCTCACTAACTAAATTCCTTCATAAAACGGGAAAATAAGTTTCTTCGTAGGACATAACTCTTAGAAGGAAAATTTGCCAATGACTTTGTAGTTATTTCATATTTATTTCAGATGATAGATCTGATTTCTTACATACCATCAATGCAGGCAAATATTGATTTTTTTCTTATAATAGTCATCTCTCTGCTTGTGGACTAGCAAAATCACAGAGTATGATTAATAAGTGGATAGATTTTTATTAAGTGCAGCTAATACTTGAGGATACATTTTTTTCTTCACATTTCACCTCATTTTCTTAATTCATACAGAAAAATGCTATTGTGAGAGCTATGGTTTATTTCATTTTCCAAGTATTCATCATTCATATATAAAAACAATTGATTTTTATATATTGACCTTTTATCCTATAAGATTCACTTAGTTCTAGGAGCCTTTTTGTACATTTGTCAGGATTTTTTCTATGCACATAATAATGTCTGCAAATACCATCAGTTGTACCACCTTGAAAAGCCTTTCTTTTTGTCATAAAATTGTTTTACTGCCTTAAGTATGGATCTGTTGCTATACTCCATTCTGCTCCATTGTTCTACTTGTCTATCTCTTGTACCATAGTCTCTTGGTGACGTAAATAAAAAGCCTGATGGGCCCTGGCCAGTGTGACAAAGTGTTGCAGGTTCGATTCCCGTCAGGGCATGTACAGGAGGCAACTGGTCAATGTTTTTCTCTCACATCAGTGTCTCTCTCTCTCTCTCTCCCTGCCCCCCCTTCTTCTCTCTCTAGAATCAGTAAAAAACATAACTGCCCCCCTTCTTCTCTCTCTAGAATCAGTAAAAAACATATCCTTAGGTGAGGATTAAAACACACACATATACACACACACAAACAAAAAAACCCAGCCTGCTGGTATTATTGAAAGTCTGTAGATCAATTTAGGGAGAATTAGCATCTTAACAATATTGAGTCTTGCAGTCTGTGAACATGGCATTTTTCTTACTTTATTTCATTGGCTAGCACTTCCAGTAGAGCATTGAAGTCATGAGAGCAGGCCTCATTGCCTGTTTCTCATCTTAGAGGGAAAGCATTCTGTATTTCACTGTGAAGTATGATGTTGGCTATAGTTTTTTCATAGATGGCTGTTACCATGTTGAGGATATTACTTTTCCAGGTTTAATGACAGTTTTTATCATGAATGGATGTTGAATTGTGTCACATGCTTCCTCTGTATCTACTGAAATTATATTCTTTTTCTCCATTCTCTTAGATACTGTTTCTTCAAATATTTTCCTGTCCCCTCCTTCCTTTGGGGATTACAGTTAGTCAGCTGAGACTGTTGTTGTGTAGGGGTTTTTCAAGTGTGTTGTTTTTTCTTTTTAAGTTAGAGATGCTAAGGATCTTCTGTTGTCTCAGAAAGAAGGAATGAGTGTATATGTCCATGTGTGCTTTAAAATTAAAGCATATCAGAAATTTTCAAATTAACCCTTTGAGTGCCAACCAATATCCTAGGAACTACAGTAGGGCTTACGAGTGTCCTGACTAACGAGTTTTTTTTGAGATACCAGCTGTCTCTCAGCCAATTTTTTGCATTGAGTTGATAGAGTAATTTGAGTTAACGAGCTCCTTAACGAGCTCGGTCTCGGAATGAATTAAACTCGTAAGTCAAGGCCCCACTGTATGCTAAAATTGCCAAGGCATTTTTGCTGATTTTACAGCCGTTTAGGAAAAAAAATATGAATCGCAAGTAAATGAAGTTACATATTCAAAAACGTAAGGAAACCTTTACTACAGAATCTGAGTAAACTTCATAAAATCATAGCACTTGTAAAAAATTAGGCAGATAAATGCCAGTGGTCAATTTTAGAACTACAAACATTCGGCATCATAAGTAATCTGCACTTAGGTGCCATCTGTCAATAAAGAGTGAACTACTAGCATCTGATAGTGACACTGCAGGAGGAGCGAGATAGCACTCCCGGCACTTCTGGCGAAAGACAGGAGGAGCGCGATCGTGCTCCCAGCACTCTAGGGGTTAATGGAAATAGATTAGACTTGTTTATTATGTTTTAAATTGACAGAACATTTATCTTCAGAGAAATGTAGAGCATTTTCTTTCTCATTTGTATTTCCAGCATTGAATTATCTTGTTTGCCTCTGCTGAATTATAGGATTCAGCAGCAGTGATGAAATGTTTCTTACATTACATTAACTTTTGTAAATAAGAATTTTTTCTTATTTTCAGGTACAGATTTATGAATTAGAGGAACATAAGATTGAAACATGGAGGGGTAAGTACTGTGGGGTATTTAAAATATTTTACTATCAGAAAAAAAATGTTCTACTTCGTATATGTTTTAATTTCACAGATCCTTCTCTCTCTGCTTAATGATAAAATAAATTGCATTAATTAAAACATTTGTTTATATCTTAGTTTTGATAGTATGCCATCCTACTGTGTATATTACCCATTCTGTTTAATAGAAATGTATAGAGAACCTGTAGCAGGTTTTTATACTAAACCCAGGAATGTGAAGATGAGTAAGCTAACCAGCACCCATATCTCTGCCCCCAATGGAGCCACCATTTCAGTATGAAGTATTACCCCCCCAAAAAATTTGCCTTTGTATGGAAAATGCACCAAAGGAATGCCTAAGATTAACAAGAGCAAGGATCTGTTCTTATTTAAAGTTAATAATTATTTCTTTACCAATTATGGAAAACATAGAACAAGTGAACCTTGAACTAGATGATTGGGATCAGATAACATGAAAATAATGTCACAATTGCTTCATTTTGTTTGTAACATTGAAATTCACCCTTTATAATCACAGTACCCTTTCTGAAATGGGGCCATTTCAAGTTGCACAATTGTGAAACTGTTCTGTGTCAGTGGATTGGAGGGGGCGGGGGACGGCAGGGGCGGTTGGCAGGAATCCCATAGATAAAGGACTGGTGGGAGTCACTGAGGAGGGGGCTTGACGGGGTGGGGGCGGGTGAACTAGAGAGAAATGGAGGGACCAGTTGAAAGAAAATTTTGAAATTAAAATTGAAATTTCGCTTGGTACTTCCCATAATCCGCTTGGTATGATAAGCAACCTTTGTGCCTAGCTGTGAAATGTGAACATTCGTTAGAATTCTCTAAAGGGCTAGGGCAGTGGTCGGCAAACAGCGGCTCGCGAGCCACATGCGGCTCTTTGGCCCCT